AACTAGATTTCTTTGATTTTTGGATAGAAGAATTTACATACATTTGTAGAGAATCATTGATTGCTTTTGTAGACTAATAAATTTTTTATATTATTGAAACCCATAATTACCCTTGCTTACATAAGCTTTACTTTGCTTCTCCATTGTAGTCTTCTCTAGGTGTTAGTTCAAAACCTTCTTCCTATATGACCTTTTTATTTGTCTTTTCCTGAATTTTTCAAGGACAATAAATTTAAACTCTTAACTTGATCCTACGTGCATTTACGGGTTTGTTCAAAGGTAGAAGTGATATGAATGCTGGAAATTCTGCTTTTCTGACTAGGGGGTAGGGAGTAGGAGGAGGTTTGTAGTCTATTTGGCATTGCAATTGTGGCTTGATCCTCAAAAGAGATGTATTACTTAGGCATATATAAAATGAGTTTTCAGACATGGATATGTTGGAAAAGCCAAGATTCAAGAAAGAAGAGAGATGCAATTTAGACCTTTGGATTTTGAGGGTACACGTGGCAAAAATCAAAGAGGCCATTGAAGAACACTGGAGGGTTATTTACTGGAGCTGATCCAAACCTTTAAAAAAGAAGCTTAGTGACGTTATCGTTTGCGATACAACGTGAATATAAGGATATTAATTTTTTTTTGAGAAATTATTAAGGAACACGTGCAAAATATATAATGGTTAACTATAGTTAAGTATTAATAGTTATAATTAAATAAGGTGACATGTGACATTATTTTATTAGTTGGGTGTAAAGTATAAACACACGATGCGGGTTAATTTTTACCATACAGACGATAAGGCGCTGGAAATCTTTTTTGATGCACATCGAACGGAGTTACCAGTGTCTTCGATTGCTTTAGCTTTTTTAAAGAGGAATATATATTTAGGTCCGAGCGTAAAACTTCTTGCTCTTTCCATCAGAATTTCTTTTCATTTCTATACCTTTGAATGTGAATATTGTGGAGATTGTTTGCCGTTAGGTGTAAAAGGCTTAATCTAACGGTTCAATTTTGGCCTGTCCTATATACTATCTTCAATTTGGAATGACATTCCACAGAATATATATATAGGAACTAAAGAAATACAACTATCTTTTCCTTTTTGCACCGAACGTTAAGGGCCAACTGTCCCGTTGGACAACAAAATTGCATGCACATTTCACTCCATCTAATTAACCAAGATATATAAAAATAAATAAATCTTCTCCGTTTCCAAATATGAAACTTGAGGCTAATTAAAGTCAAACACAGTAAAAGTAAAATTTCTTAGTTAAAACGCATTATGTTACGCTGAATTTCGTTAACGGAGAGAGGTGAAATTAACTTTGTATACGGTCAAAACCGGTTTTGACCTTCATGTATTTAATTGAGATTGGAACATGATGGACCAGGGTCGTCATCATAATATCGAGATGAGATCTGAAGCCAGGTTATCGAGCTTAAGATTCAGGGACCGATCAATACCGAGCTTGAATCAATACCGAGCTCGAGATCCAGAGATCGACCAATACCAAAACCGGCCAAGATCGAGCTAAGAGACAAAGAGCCGTTGTAGCCACACCAGGGGAGAGAATCTCGGCGAAAATTAAAGAAAAACTAATTAACTAATCTATCATGGGATCCCCACTATGTATTTTTAATTATATCCAAAGTAAAATTCCTCCACTATATGAAGAGTGACTATCATTTCTGTAAGGGATTGGACATTCAACATTGAGACATCAATACACTATCACATTTCAAATATATTGAGATTTACACTTATATAGTAAACATTATCCTTTTTTGAACTTTGGAGATTGGTTCATCTTGTTTGTTTATAGACCATTCTCTACTCAATTTGAGTTCGTATTTCTTTTTTTTTTTACAATCAATATTCGATATATTTTTACCAATTTTTTCGATTTGTACCAAGTTATACCATGTATCCTTAGAACTACGTATAAATTAAACTCTATCCGTTTTTCGGATAAACAATCTTTTTGGAGTGAAATAGTTCATGTCTCATCTCCTTCTCAAAATAGCTCTCTAAGAAGAAAAAGAGTGAACAAATTAAAAACCCTCACAAGTCACAAATGGCAAAACCTCCCTTAACTTACATTCTTTCTTGATATATTTAACTAATAAATTGACACCATACTTAAACAGGATTATGTTCCCGATCCTTCAACTCCACGGATCCTGATCAACATCAAATTAAAGCAAAATGTTCAAATAACTTACTGAACCAGTCAAGTTTATCAAATTTGTAAATATGTTTTACGTCATAATGAAAAAATTAAATTCGTAATACAATTGAACGTTACGTGCTTGCGTATTCTAAAACCAAACGACCCTATAATTAAACGTGAACAAGAAGTATGGCTTTTTCTCTTTCTTTGTTTCACTTGAACATAATAATACTATACCAGAGAGGAGACACCTTAATTCAAGTCATACTTAGCTGTCATTTGCTCTTTTTCTAGATGGCCGTTGCACTATATAATGACATGTTTGAGTAGTAGTATATAATATGCAGCATATGACCGTTCAATTGGCAATTAAGTGTTAATGAAACCCCACATATATCACAAGAAAAATATATGGCTGCTGAACTGGTCCAAGCTCATTACTCTCCTTTTAAAGAAACTTCTAAAGTGAATCTTTGCCTCAAGCATATTACCGTTTCGAAGAAACTAGTTTCAAGATGATGATAAGTAAAAAGTACGCCTTATATATTCTACTATTCTATAAGTGAGAGTTTAGCAGCTCTCCGTCAATGTGCTAGCTTGCCAATCAGGGGCATTTCTGTTATTTCAAAGATTTTAAAATTCAAACAAATTACATGTCATAATTTGCTAAAACTTCAATTAATTTTTAAAAAGTTTGCCACACATAGATTCAAACAAATTGCATGTTAGGAACTGCTAAAATTATATACACAAACAATTCGGTGATTGAGTGAAGGTGGGAACACGTGGGGTACAAATTTAGGCAAGAAAGTTACTGTGGGAGAAATGGGCAATTTGGTCAAGGCACATAAAATTTTACTTGGCAGCTACAATAATGCCCTTTCTTAGCCATTGCAGAAAAAAGAAAAAGAGTAAAAATCATTACCAGAACCCATAGATTCAATGGAGGGCTATATAAAAACAGTAAAACTAAGAAGTGAGTCATGTAAGAAGCAGTGGTGATTAAATAAAGAAAAGAAAGCAGAAAACTCAAACTAATTGAGAAATAGAGAAATTAGCCGAGAAAACTTGGAACCAAATTAAAACATCTCAAAGAGATAAAATTCAAGGATGGTGAAAAGAATAGTTTATAGAATGGACTATTGGAGTGTGGCAGTAAAAAATATAAATTGAAAGTGGAATACACGTGTTTAGAGATGAATAGGATGAAGAAACCCAATCACCAATTTACCCTAAAAATAAAATTAATTAGATGGTGTAAGTCAAGGATATAATAGATATCTTAACATTTTTTGACAAATATATAGTAGATGTTATCATTCTTTGTAGAGTAGACAGCAGGAGCACAGAATTTTATTATTTTTATTCACGGTGAGTAGATGTGTATCAAAGTAAGTCATCATAATTTCTACGGAATCTTACCTTACCTTTAAAGACTTACTGTTCATGTCAAATAAAAAGTTGTCATTTCCTATTACAATTAGTAGAGGGACTAGATCAAAAGCTTGTGTAAATAGCAAATTTCTAAGTTAAATTGGTCACATGTGTTGTCTATAGACCACATCTTATTGAAGAAAACGATTGTTTGGTATAGGATATCAATTAAACACAACCAACAAAAATTAGATCAACGAATTCAGTTCAATATTTCTAAGTATATAAAACCCATTTTTCTCCTAAGAAGCTTCCAACATAGAACATCCCGGCACGAAGTGTTGCTCTTTCCTTTTATTGGCACTTGTACAACTCTCTTTTCAGTTGATGTTAGACTCCTTCACCAAACTAAATTTATCCAATTCAATATTTACACTGATTAAGTTAAACAATTAATGTTGGAGTCAGATATTAAATAAAAATGCATATCATTTAAATATGATTTATTAATGATAAAATTTGTCCTAATTCCATTTGAACTTGTCTGGAATGTCATCCAGTTTAGGATTATTTTGTTACTTCAGAATAAAAAAGAATGACTTTGCCGGTTTTCGACAAATAGTAAAGTAATTTAATTTAAAACTATTTACTTAACAATCATTATAAGTCCAACCATGATAAGCAATTGCGAATGGATAGGGGTACATTTTAACTTTAGCTCTTGAAGGATCCGATGAAAAAACTGGAAAGAAAAAAGAAATAGATATTTATTTTTTTGACGTAGTGCCTAGATCAGCTTGTTTTCCATCGAATTTGCTATCTCAGCATAAATACCAAATAACATTGAAGTTTACACATATGGGAAGAGATCACACAATGCAAGACTCATGTAGCCTTTCGGTTACGGGTATAAGTTTAATTTCGACACAAAGTATAGTTTTATATATAAAAATCTACTAAAATCTCAATATGCATTAGAGTTAAACTCATAATTTTAATAGTACAATGAATTTAATGCTAAAACTCTTAAAGTTGAACCCATTAAATTTAAATTTTGGATCCGAATCTGACCCGGGATTAATATTTTTTACTTCCGTTAGGAGATGATTCTTTTCCTACATTATCGATCACTAGGTCATGCCCTAGGGGTTGAATAAAACTTCTATTTGCTCACCATTACTATCTACTACTACTATAGTATTGCTTCGTCATTTTCAAATTAAACTGTGGATGAGTTTTACAGTCAACAACCTTTCAAAATTTATCGTTAATAGCCAATTAGGAGTAATTTATAATTTGTCATTACCAGATGAAACTAATTATTAGGATATCATTAGCCAAAACCCCAATCATGAGACCAGAAAAGAAAAGCCCATATATAGAATAAATAAGAAAGCTTGAGTACTGGCCAAGAGAGGAAGGAAGAACAAGAAAGAGAAGAAATCTAATGATTACTAGTTGAAGAAAAGAACAATTAAGATATTAAGATTACATTACATACAAAAGAATATCTAAGTTAGTAATGCAAATTAGTACATTAACTTTCTCTATACATTACAAAACGTCAACAAAATTCAGCCAGAAAATAGAAGAATGAAAAGAGACATCTAATGATAATTTTCACCCCATTCAGCATTAATGCATTAGCCGTGAGCTCCTCCAATGATCTCTTGCCCCTCCCCACAAAAAGATATCAACTTTTTTTTTTTAATTTTATTTTCAGAATTCCACTTCCCAGCTGTTAATATGCTCCATCAACTTACCACAAGTAAAAAAAAAAGGTTCAAAAAGGAGGAAAATTTAAAATAAATGGCTATTTTCTGAAATATGGAAGAATCTAGATATGGCAGCCGCAGCAGAGGTAGAAAAAAGCCAAGGTGGAGACGAGAAAAATGGCTTCAAAGGCAGAAACAATCTTGAAGAGGAGACAGTCAACGATCCAGTATCTCAATTTGTAAAGCCTCTTACTCTTCCACCTCAATCCACTGGACAGATTCTTGAATCGCCACCGCAACGACGACGGCCGCGGCGGCTGAGTTAAAGAATCATGAAGTTGATGATGATCTCCGGCGCTACCCGCTTCAGAACCAACAGTTCCGGCGACACCCTTTTTGTTAAGCCTCTTGAATGAGAACAAATAGCCACCAACTTTCATTGTTCTCTCTTTTGGGAATTCTTGTTTGGAAGGAAAAAAACAGAGTTTGGTGAGAAAAAGAAGTTTGCAATAAGAGGGTGAATGGTATCTTGGTATTTAAGGTGTGAGCAGGGGTATTTTAGGAAAGTCAAATATGGGGGCTAGATTGGAATGTTATTGTGTAGGAATAAATTTTCGCGTGCGCGTGGGTGCATGTTATGCCTTGTGGAATAAGTCTAGTAGGAGCAGAGTGGAAAGAGTGAAAACTGAAGTACTTTGGTCATCACAGTATTTTGGACCGTTGAATATATAAGTGTTTACCGGAAAAATCAGATAACGTTAGATTTGTGTATTGTTCTAAGGATATGCGATACAATTCGATATAAATTGCGTAGAGAAATAGAAATATGTGTATTGTTGACTGTGAAAATAAAAATAATAAGCAAAAAAGAATAAATAAGTAAAACAAACATAAGAGAATAACTATCAATATAAGAAGTGACCTTCCTTTCTCCTCTTTTTTGCCCTGCTTTTGCTTACAAGGATTCCCCTTTTATTGAAGAGGGTTATTACAAAAAAATAATAAAATAAAACAAATAGTGGAAGGCCCATGATAACTTGTCTCTTCTTTGATTCCCGCCAAGATTCTCTCTCTTGGTGCGGTTGCGACGATTCTTGTCTGTGAGCTCGATACTAGCTCGAACTCGTTACTGGGTCGGGCCCTTCGGTCTCGGATCGAGTTCGTCCTTCGATATGGACGTCGCGTATTTCCGACCTCGAAGCAGTGCCTTGCGGATCGATTCGGTCACGGGCTCGATAGGATTATCGAGCCGCCTCCTCGAGTGACCTTCGGGCTCGAGGTTCGTTAGTACCGACCTCAGAGCTCACTCCCAAAACCTCATTCCGGTTTTTTAACACTCGAACTCGATCGAACGTAGGAAAGCCGAAATCTATTTCGACCGTATACAGATAGTCCCCTCGTTTCTCAGAAAAGGACGTGGCGAGAAACGATATGATTTTCCAGCAGCTCGATCAGATATACACTGATGTTTTTATCGATCCCGACCATGACGTATGTAATGCTCGATCATCTTATGCGTCTTTATAGTCCCCGACTTTATCGAGGATACCCGAATTTTTTCCTCCCCTGTGGGAATTGTCAGTTACCTTCGGTCCTTGAATCGGGTAACTTCTGATGGCGTTTTCGCCGCCTCTGTACAAAAAATTTGTAAATACAAATCTTTTTTTCTTTTTTTGAAGAGAAATGGCCATTCAAACTAAATAGATAGTTTGAATTTAAATTTCGGTTGCCTTCGGGCCTCGTGGGTAGTCCCATTTGCTTTATCGGGATCGAGCGTCCTTCAGCTTAAATAGTCAAGTGTTTATTTTAACTCGAAGAAATGAGTAGTTTTGCTCGAAATAATGTAGCTCGTAGGCGTAATAGTCGAGCGAGTGATTGCTCGAACTCGAAATAAAGGTAGCCTGTAGGCTTAATGGTCGAGTGAGTGATTGTTCGAACTCAAAATAAAGGTAGCCCGTAGGCTTGGCAGTTGAGCGAATGATTCAAACTCGATGCAATGTAGCCCGTAGGCATAATAGTCAAAGTAGCCCGTAGGCTTGGCAGTCGAGGGAATGATTCGAACTCGATGTGATGTAGCCCGTAGGTGTAATAGTCAAAGTAGCCCGTAGGCTTAATGGTCGAGTGAGTGATTTTTCGAACACGAAATAAAAGTAGCCCGTGGGCTTGGCAATCAAGCGAATGGTTCGAACTCGATGCGATGTAGCCCGTAGGCTTAATGGTCGAGTGAGTGATTACTCGAACTCAAAATAAAGGTAGCCTGTAGGCTTGGCAGTCGAGCGAATGATTTGAACTCGATGCAATATAGCCCGTAGGCGTAATAGTCAAAGTAGCCCGTAGGCTTAATGGTCGAGTGAGTGATTGCTCGAACTCGAAATAAAGGTAGCCCGTGGGCTTGGCAATCAAACGAATGGTTCGAACTCGATGCGATGTAGCCCGTAGGCGTAATAGTCGAAGTAGCCCGTAGGCTTAATGGTCGAGTGAGTGATTGCTCGAACTCGAAATAAAGGTAGCCCGTAGGCTTGGCAGTCGAGCGAATGATTCGAACTCGATGTGATGTATCCCGTAGGCGTAATAGTCAAAGTAGCCCGTTGGCTTAATGGTCGAGTGAGTGATTGCTCGAACTCGAAATAAAGGTAGCCCGTGGGCTTGGCAATCAAGCGAATGGTTCGAACTCGATGCGATGTAGCCCGTAGGCATAATAGTCGAAGTAGCCCGTAGGCTTAATGGTCAAGTGAGTGATTGCTCGAACTCGAAATAAAGGTAGCTCGTAGGCTTGACAGTCGAGCGAATGATTCGAACTCGATGTGATGTAGCCCGTAGGCGTAATAGTCAAAGTAGCCCGTAGGCTTAATGGTCGAGTGAGTGATTGCTCAAACTCGAAATAAAGGTAGCATGTGGGCTTGGCAATCAAGCGAATGGTTCGAACTCGATGCGATGTAGCCCGTAGGCATAATCGTCGAAGTAGCCCGTAGGCTTAATGGTCGAGTGAGTGATTGCTCAAACTCGAAATAAAGGTAGCACGTAGGCTTGGCAGTCGAGCGAATGGTTCGAACTCGATGCAATGTAGCCCATAGGCGTAATAGTCAAAGTAGCCCGTAGGCTTGGCAGTCGAGCGAATGATTCGAACTCGATGTGATGTAGCCCATAAGCGTAATAGTCAAAGTAGCCCGTAGGCTTAATGGTCGAGTGAGTGATTGCTCGAATTCGAAATAAAAGTAGCCCGTAGGCCCATAGGCGTAATAGTCAAAGTAGCCCGTAGGCTTAATGGTCGAGTGAGTGATTGCTCGAACTCGAAATAAAGGTAGCCCGTAGGCTTGGCAGTCGAGCGAATGGTTCGAACTCGATCCTTTTTTGCATAATAAATCTTGAACATAGGATATCGGTAAAGAAGAGAGCTTTCTTTTCAAGTCATTATACATGGGTTCATATTTTGCGTCAAGGCTCGGGTCAACTGTATAAGCATGGTTCGTTTTGACCATTTGGCCCTTACGACGTTTCCCGTTGAGACACTGTTTTGTCATGAAATAATGAAGTAACTTCCTTTGCACCGAACTTGATAATCATCACAGATGCGTTCAATGATAAATCCCCCATGTGTACAAGGTTGATTTTAAAGAGGCCTTGGATACTCAGCAGTAGTATCGTTTCTATTAAATGGTTCGATCTTTGGTCGACTTTTGCTTTTTCGTAATAGACCTAGAAGTCAACTGGTCATCTTCGACTCTTATTTTAGATTGATATCGATTGTGCACATCGGTCCAAGTAATAGCTGGGTACTCAATCAGATTTTGCTTCAACCGTCGTGAAGCCCTCGAGATCCGCTTATTTAGACCTTGAGTGAAAGCTTGAACAACCCAATCGTCTGTGACTGATGGCAGATCCATTCGTTTCCATTTCAAAATGAGCTACGAACTCCCTTAGAATCTCGTTATCCTTTTGTATTACCTTGAACAGATCCGACTTTCTGGTTTCAACCTTTATGGCTCTGATATGTGCTTTTACGAAGCAATCTACAAGCATAACAAAAGAATCAATGGAGTTAGATGGTAAATTATGATACCATATCATTGCCCCCTTTGACAGGGTGTCACCAAAATTTTTCAATAATACAGATTCGATCTCATCATTTTCCAAATCATTGCCCTTGATGGCACACGTGTAAGAAGTGACGTGCTCATTGGGGTCGATCGTTCCGTTATATTTGGGTATTTCGGGCATACGGAATTTTTTGGGGATTGGTTTTGGGGCTACACTCGAGGGAAAAGGCTTTTGAATGTATTTTTTTTGAATCTAGACCTTTTATCATTGGTGGAGCTCCCGAGATTTGGTCGACCCTGGAATTATATGTCTCTATTTTTTTTTATCATTGGTTTTGACTCGTTTTGTAAGTTCCTCGAGCAATTTAGTAATTTTGGGAGTAGTCCCCAATTCTTGCTCATTTGAATTCTCTATGGCAGGTTCCGTTCTGTGGGTTACTTCTCGAAGCAGATTGGGCTCCGGCCTGCTTTGTACCTGAGTTTGGCTCTGCAACTGAGCTATCATTGTTTGCTGGGCTTGTAACATCTCGAAGATCATCCGTAAGCTGACTCCGATCTCCTCCACGTTATGGTTGTCTCGAGCTACGGATCGAGTACCGCCCTGAATACTTCTTTTCAGTTCGGAACGCTGATTCGCCCCTAGAGCTATTTGTGAATTGACATCCAATGGTACTTCGACTCGAATTTCGGGTGCTTCGATTCGAGCCTTAGTGCCATCATCGAGTGGCCTTCCGGCCCTGGGCGCCAAGTTGTTGGTTTCATCTTGAAGGCCGGCTTCGTGGTTGATAGGTGAAGCCATTGCTAATTTGAAGTTGCAAACTGGCGTGTACTTTAGATTTATATCAAACGATCACTGTTACCCTTAGCCCCACGGTGGGCGCCAAACTATTTACCGAAAAAATTGGATAACGTTAGATTTGTATATGGTTCTAAGGATATGCGATACAATTCGATATAAAATCGCGTAGAGAAATAGAAATATATGTATTGTTGGCTGTGAGAATGAAAATAATAAGCAAAAAAGAATGAATAAGTAAAACAAACATAAGGGGATAACTATCAATATAAGAAGTGATCTTCCTTTCTTCTCTTTTTGCCCTGTTTGGCTTACAAGGATTCCCCATTTTATAGAAGATGGTTATTACAAAAATTACAATAAAATAAAATATATAGTGGAAGGCCCATGATGACTTGTCTCTTCTTTGATTCCCGCCAAGATTCTCTCTCTTGGTGCGGTTTGCAACGGCTCTTGTCTGTGAGCTCGATACTAGCTCGAACTCGTTACTGGGTCAGGCCCTTCGGTCTCGGATTGAGTTCGACCTTCGAGATGGACGTCGCATATTTCCGACCTTGAAGGAGTGCCTTACGGATCGATTCGGTCACGGGCTCGATAGGATTATCGAGTCGCCTCCTCGAGTGACCTTCGGGCTCGAGGTTCGTTAGTACCGACCTCAGAGCTCACTCCCAA